TTAAAAGAATAGCTGTCAGGTCTTTTGTGATTCTGACTCTTGTTCTGTTATACTTGAACTCTTCCTTTCTGACCCTTGCATTCTTTTTCCTTTGGCTTAGAAGACCCATGTTTTAGCTGTGAGATTTCTAACAGTTTTCATTTCTTTCACGAAATGACCAGTGAATTCTATTTTTACTTTGTCCTCTGTTTTTAAAAAACTGGGTTGATTTTCATTTATGATATTCCTGTGCTTTTACTTTGAAAAACAAGAGCACAAACATTTCTTCCCAATATCCCGAGGATCGTCTCCCTCATAGCGCTTCAGTCTCTGGGGGAGGGTGGGCTCAGACTTAGCAGTTTCTATGTGGGGTTGGTCTCACCACGTTTAACTCTTCATGCAGCACTGCTACTGGAGAGTAGTCACCTCCCTTACTGCTACACTGGTCCTTGAGGTTGCCCCTCACTCTGGGACATTGGTCCTGGGCCTGTGGCAAAAGCCCACATTGCCTGGACCTGTAAACTTGCCAGGCTGCCAGACACTCAGCTGCCTGGACGGATGGCTCTCCAGACCTTTTGGAACTCAGAAGATCAGAACCTCCAAGTTAATGTTCTTTACCTAAAACAAAAGAACAAACAGAAACAAAGGACAGAGGCTCATTTTCACATTGCCAAATGTCAGCCTAGGGGCATAGGGGGCCCAAGTCCTCTTTGCCTCTCACAGGACACTATGGCTCAGGAGTCAGACCAACAGCACAGACCCACCAAGAGCAATCAGTGGAAGAGAATGTCATGGTTTTCAAGGAGTCTGATAATCCTTTTTTAATTTTTTAATTAATTTATTTAGATTTATCAACAATCACTTCCATACACTTTTGAGTTTTAAATTTTTCTCCCCCTCCCTCCCCTCTCCCTCCTCAAGACAGCATGCAATCTGATTTAGGCTATTCATATACATACACATTCCTATGAAACATATTTTCACATTAGCCATGTTGTAAGGAAGAATTAGAATCAATAGAAGGAACCAACAGAAAGAAGAAACAGAACAAAACAGAAGAAAAACAAAAAGAGCAAATTGTGTACTTTGATCTGCATTCCAACTCCATTGTTCTTTCTGTGGATGTGGAGAGCATTTTCCATCATGAGACCTTTGGAGATGTCTTAGATCCTTGCATTGCTGAGAAGGGCAAAGTCTCTCAAAGTTAGTCATCAAACAATGTGGCTATTACTGTTACAACATTCTCCTGGTTCTGCTCACTTCACTCAGCATCAGTTCATACAAGTTTTTCCAGGTTTTTCTGGTCAGCCTGTTCATCATTTCTTATAGCACAATAGTATTCCATTACATTCATATACTACAACTTGTTCAGCCGTTCCCCAGTGGATAGGCATCCCTTCAATTTCCAGTTCTTGGCTTCCACAAAAAGAGCTGCTATAAATATTTTTGTACGTGTAGGTCCTTTTCCCATTTGTTTGATCTCTTTGGGATACAGCCCTAGAAGTGCTATTGCTGGGTCAAAGGGTATGCACATTTTTATGGCCCTTTGGGCATAGTTCCAAATTGCTCTTCAAAATGGTTGGGTCAATTCACAACTCCACCAACAATGTATTAGTGTTCCAATTTTCCCACATCTTCTCCAACATTTATCATTTTCCTGTGTTGTCATATTAGCCAATCTGATAGGTGTGATGTGGTACCTCAAAGTTGTTTTGATTTGCATTTCTCGAATCCATAGTGATTTAGAGCATTTTTTCATATGACTATAGATGGCTTTAATTTCTTCATCTGAGAACTGTCTGTTCATATCCTTTGACCATTTATCAATTGAGGAATGGCTTGTGTTCTTATAAATTTGACTTAATTCTATATATATTTTTGAAATGAGGCCCTAATCAGAGACACTGGTTGTAAAAGAGTCTGATAATTCTTAAATTGTCTTTCTGATGTGTTTCCCAGGCCATTTGTTTTTAATGGTGTATACCTTATGTTTTCTTTTATTTTTTCAGTCTTTTGAGTTATCTTATTATTTCTCGTTGCCTTATTGCATCACTGAAGCTCTGTTTGGGCTGTTCTAACTTTGAAGGAATCTATTACTTGGGTAAAGTTTTGTGTCTTCTCCTCTAAGCTATTTGTTCTCCTTCAGATTATTGCCTCTATAGCTTTTATCTCTCTTACAATCCCATTTTTAAAAAATTTTATTAATTTATTTTGATTTATCAACAATCACTTCCATATGCTTTTGAGTTGAAAATTTTTCTCCCCCTTCCTCCCCCCACCTTCCCCAAGACGGCACACAATCTGATATAGGCTTTACATTTACCTTCCTACTAAACATATTTTCACATTAGTGAAGTTGTAAGTAAAAATTAAAACCAATAGGAGGAACCATCAGAAAGAGGAAACAAAACTCAACAGAAAGTAAAAATAAGTGATAGCGATTCGACTTCCATAGTTCTTTCTTTGGATGTGGACAGCACTTTCCATCCGAGGCCTCTGGAGATGTCTTAGATCCTTCTTCTTACAATCCCATTTTTTAAATATCTTGCCTCATTTCTTCCAGTTGTGTCTGAAATCCTTATGGCCAAACCATTGTTTTTTTTTAATGAATGAAAGAAAAAAGTGCTTGATAGGATGTTCACTCTCTTTGACCTATGCTAAGCTCTGATGATACAAAAGTAAGACAGTCCCTGATCTCCAGGAATTCCCATTCTAATGGGGGAGACAGCACATAGGGCAGGTGCAAGTCAAGTCCCATGGTACTTAGGGTACAGCAGCAAAACGCATCCAAGCCTCTTCTTTCAGGTCATTTTGCACCGAGGGAATCACTTCAGTTCCTGATGGAGAATTTGTTTTCTTTCTCTGAGGCTCTGCTTGTAGTAGATGTAGATGGGCATCTTTGCCTATTAAGAGTGTTCAATGTCTATTTCCATTTACTCATACCTCCCACCACACTACCTGACTTAGGACTATGTGACAGGGTCAGGATCCACACTGTCTCTCTCTGGGCTGGCATACTTTGGTCCTGACCTCCCTTCCCCGGTTTCCTGGAAGCTGGTTGACTTCCCCTTCCTTGGTGTGCCTGTACCCAGAATGCTGGAAGGATCCGAGACCTCAGTCACTGCAATGGAGTTGGTTGTGCCCTGTCCAGGTGGTGCTTTCCAGGGCTTCTCTGGTCAGGACCCTGCCAAATCTTCCCCATTTCTGTGGCCGGCCTGTGCTTCCCGGCTGCTGACCTATGCTGCTGTTGGCTGCACCCGAAGAACCCCCTTTTTTTAAGCATCAGGAGTATTCCGATTCCTTTATGTCCAGTTCTGGGCTGGATCCAGGAGTTTCCTGGTGTTTCTTTTTGGCTTTTTTTTGTTGCTGTTGCTTTTAAGTCTGGTGATCTTTTGACATCTCTCAGAGTAAAAGTCGGGCTCCCCTGGTACCTTTCACACCACCATCTTAATTAGTAGACTTTGTGAAGAACGATCTCTTGGGGGATGGAGAAGAGGCCACAGTGTCTGCTCAGGACAGAGAGGAAACTTGGTACTAGTAATGCTTCATTGAATCCCCCTCATAACCAAACAGTTGTTGTTTACCTAGGCCACTGGGTGGAGAGTGGGAGGCCAGGAAGGAAGCAGCAAACTCCTCAACAGCTGCTCCTTCTCCAGGGGTGCCCATCCCCCATGGCTAATTTGGGATTGCCTTCAACCTCCCCCTTGCCTGTGGGATCTTGGAGTCCTGAGCTTGGACAGGAGGATGTGCTCACCTCTGGCTCCACTTCATCTGTAAATAGTGCAAGAAAGAAAGAAAAGGGGGCAATAGAGACCCCCTGTCTGTGTCAGCCCTAAGGTTCAGGCTCAGGAGCCCGATTTTGGAGTCCCGGATAAGGTATAAAATGGCAAGGGACGGGGGTGGAGGTCGAGCTGAGTGGAGGTGCCTGAAAAAGCATTTATAAGGGCTTTCTATGTCCCAAACACTGCGCAGAATGCTGCGGATGCCCCTCCCTTTAGAGTTCACTTTGTAGGGGAGACAAGGTCCAGAGAAGGGAGTGACCGCTGGCCATTGTGGGATGTTTCTGTCTGGACAGTCGTAGGGATGGGCAGCGGGACGGTGTGTGCGGTGTGGGCAGTGAGGTCCTTGGACAGATCCTTTCCGGAGACAATAGGGCAGTTGATTTGATTATTCACATGTCAGAGTTCTTAGAGAAAGCAGTAGAAAGCGCTTGGGGATGGTAAGTCTGGAGAGAACTCCGAGTCCAATTCCTTCATTTTAAGGAAAAGAAGCTTCACTGATTCCTTTACTGTTTGTCATCAGAATCTGAGCCCTTGCACGCACTTGTTTAACAAAGAAAACAAAAACAAGCCGTTCAGCTGCCTCCCTCTGACTGTGTGCGAAGCTCCTGCTTTGTAGTACCCATCCCCCGCCTCCCCCTCCCGGCCCCGGCCCCGGCCCCGCATCTCCGAGCAGCGGAAAGGGGTATGCTTCGTGTATCTGTTCTCCCGGACCATTCTTGGTTTTTCAGTTACTCAGACTCCAATTTCCTTTCAGGCACGATTATGCTTGTGACACCGCTCCCACCCCCCATTTTACACAGGAGGAAACTGAGGCCTGGAGAGGTAAGGGTAGTTTTAAAACAAATTAAAAAGCAGCACCTGGCTCGACCCGGGTCCTCTGTCTCCCCTTCTAGGGCTCTTAGCTCTGCACCGCACTACCCTGTTGGCACCGGGTGACTCCCGGTCGGCAGCTGCTCCTCCTACGACCTCTGCCCAAGCTGAGTCCAGTGCCTGGCGCTCTGCGTGGGCCCGTGCCCCTTGATTGACCGTGGGGTGAAGCCCCAGCTGTGCGGCGGCTCTGGCCCCGGCAGGTGGCAGCCCCTGCTAATACCTGGCTCTCCTGCCCCAAGCCCACCTCTCCGTTCCCTGGGCGCCGCTCCCTCCCTCGCAGCCACCCGAAGTCTCCGCCCACGTCCAGGGTCCTGTCGGGAGGGGCGGAGGGAGGCCCCGCCCCCGGCTCTCGTTTGTGCCGGCCCGCCCCCCAAGATCTTCGGAGCCTAGGAGAATGGCCCAGAGGCCGAAGCTGCGGCTGCGGCGGCGGCGGCCACGGCGGAACCCGCGGGCACCATGACTCCCAGCAGCTTCGTGGCGGCGCTGATGCTGGGGACCCTCCTGGGCGTAAGCGACGTGGAAGGGAGCCCCAAGCCCCCCGGGCCGCGCCGGCCCCCGCTGCCCGCTGCGCTGCCCCGGCCCCCCGGCCCCGTCCCGCTGGCCCTCGGAGCGCCCCGACGGCCGCCCGGCCTGCCCTTCCAGCGCCGCCGGTCCCCTGCCTCCGCGCCCCTGCGGCTGCTCTCGGCCTCAGCCCTCGGCCCAGGGCCCCACCGCTTCTCGGGCAGGAGCCGGGACGTGGGTGCAGGGGGCGCACAGTGTTGCTTCCCTGGAGACCCTCGGGACCGTTGCGACTGCAGGCACGGTGAGTGGCCCCGAGTCTGGCTCTGGGGTCAGGGTGTGAGTGTGGACAGGTGAGCCCGGGTGCGAGTGAGGTAAACGTGATGGGCTTGCATGGCTGGGGATGGAAGTAGCTTCCCGGAGTCCTGGAAAGACCCGGGCCTGGAGAAATAGCTAGTCCGTCCCCTTTATCGAGGCCCAGAGAGGGCAAAGGACTTCTCCACGATCACACAGCTGCCACACAGTAGCAAAGTCAAGCCTCAGACCTAGGTCTTGAGATCCCCTAGCTACTGAGCTTTCCTGTGCCTAACTGCCTTACTTTGGGACTCGGAGCCAGGCGCTTTCGCATCTTTCCGTTCCCTTCGGAAACATGCCTGCTTCTTGCCGCTCGAACACTCGGTGATTCTGAGTGTGTATGTTGCAACTGCCCCACTGCGTGCTTTGTCACGTATATTGGCGGCGAGCGATGTGTGTAACTGAGCGAGCGAGCGAGCCGGGCTGGTTGTCAGCCTGCTCGGGGTACCAGAGCTGGCCGAAGGGGCGGGAGGGCTCGAGGCTCGGCGCTTGGCGCTGGCTGGGGCAACGCTGCGATACTCTGTTGTCCGGGAGTTGGTGTTCAATGGGAGAGCTTCCCAAAGACTTTGTCCAGCAGGGACCTTCTATGTTTTTCATAAACCCAAATCTCGGCCTTCCCTCTGACCTTCTTGGCCAGTGCTTTTGGAAAGAATAACGTTCTTCCTCGTGGTGGGGTTCATTGCCCAGAATCCCAGTAGCTGGTCCTAGCTCAGTTCAAGAGAGAGACAGGGGCATTTCCTCCTTACTTAGGAGATCCTAGAAAGCCCCTTAGCAGAGCAGAGCCCACGTTTCATTCCTGCCAGTGCCGGAGGCAAGCGACCTGCTTCTCGGCTGGAGCAAGAACAAAGCCAGCCCAAAGAAAATGTTTTGGGAACCAACCAAAGGTTCTCCTAGGGATGGGAGAACCTAGTTGTAGGCACCCAGCCATTTGCTTAATTCTAATCTATAAGTGGGCAGCATTGATGAGAAAGATAAGTGTAGGACTCAAAAGACTAGTTTCCAGTTACTTTTCGTTTTAAAAAAACAACAAAACAAAACAAAAAATAACGACACCTACACACACACACACATACACACACACACACACACACACACACACAACACACACCTTGAACTCTTCCTCTTAGATTTGGAATTTCAGGCAGTCCTTTTTTCACACCAGGGTTCTCTCAGTGATTTTAGTGTTTAGAATGCTAGACTGAAACTAACTGTGTGACCTTGCCCAGGTAATTTCACCTCTCTCCATGAGTTTCCTCCACTTTAAAACATAAGGGTTGGGCCAGAGCTTCTCTGACGTCCCTTCAGATCTAATATTCTAGTAGAATGTTTTCAGAGGCAGAGGCATGGTCTAGTGGATTACAGGGTCAGACTTGGAGTCAGAAGAACCAGAAATCCTGCCTCAGATGCTTGGTGGCTATGTGACCCTGGACAAGTCACTTGACTTCTCTCATGGTTAGAATACTGAACTTAGAATGTGGAGGACTTGGGCTTATATCTGGCCTCTGATATTTACTAGCTCTGTGGCCATGGGCCAGTCACTTAATTATCCTTGTGGTAAAATGGGAACCTCAGTTTCTTTGTTTCCATTAGAATTTCAGTACAGTTACGCCTATGTCTATGATGTCAGCCAGAAGGCAGACTGAACAAAGAAGTTTGAACCATTACCCTATCAACTGTGAGATGATAACTGTAGTAAAGCCAAAATAACATGTATGTAACATCCTTTCCAATGTTTAAGAGCATGCAAATGTCACTCTTATTGTGTAGTTACTGAAAGAAAGGTCCCATTTCCCTCTTTGGGGGCTTACCTTTCCCTTTTATATTTGCTTGCTCTCCCTGCCCACCCCAGAGGGAAAGGAGTGGGATGGAAATCCATTTCCTTTCATTTGGGACCTGAGGAGTACCTCATCTTGTATCCTTCAGAGGCTGGCTCAGCTTGTCCGGTATTCTGCCCAAGTGCCTTTTACCTCTGCCTTTGGTTGCTAGAGTCTTTTGGGCTATAGGAAAGTCATAGCAAGGTTAAGATCAATGATTTCTGCTCAGGAATGAAGTCATCACTACTATATTCATATTCCATGGCAAGAATGTTGATGGGCTTGTAATGGCCTAGAGCTGGCCCCAGCTGGGAGCTCTAGAATTTCCTTGCTATTTACTATAAGGCATATCTATAACTTCAGTATTAAAATTCCTACATAGAGCAACACCAGTAAAAACAGCTGAATATCACACCACCACCACTACTACTACTACCCCCTTCAAAACCTAACCCATTCTCTATGCCACAATGAAGGTGAGGGGGCAATGGCAAAGGAACGGGATGACAGCCGAGGAGGTATATATTGGAGAAGGGGGGTATGTATTGGGGACTCTGTCCTCAAACTGATGTGAAGCCCATGAAAGAACCCCGATGCCCTGATCCCATTCAAGCTCTGGCAATACTACTGATCGACATAGCACCCCAACCCTTTCATAAACCCAAATCCCGGCCTTCCCTCTGACCTTCTTGGCCAGTGCTTTTGGAAAGAATAACGTTCTTCCTCGTGGTGGGGTTCATTGCCCAGAATCCCAGTAGCTGGTCCTAGCTCAGTTCAAGAGAGAGACAGGGGCATTTCCTCCTTACTTAGGAGATCCTAGAAAGCCCTTTAGCAGAGCCAATGTCTCATTCCTGCCAAAGTGAACCTAGCTGGTTCTCTTGCCAAGCTTTTAAAAATCTGGTTCTACTCTCTATTGCTTCTCTCTGCTGTAAGAGATGATACTTGTCCTAATCATCCATTATCCATCACAAAATTTTGCAAGTGAGTTTATATGTATAATTGGTATTGCCTTTATCATCCTTCATAAGCTTTTTTTTTTTTTGGTGAGGCAATTGGGGTTAAGTGACTTGCCCAGAGTCACACAGCTAGTGAGTTTTATATGTCTTAGTCAGATTTGAACTCAGGTCCTCCTGACTCCAGGACCTGTGGTCTATTCACTGCACCACCTAGCTGTCTCCTTCATAAACTTTTAAAAAATGAGTCTATGTTCTAAACAGGTGCTTCCTTTGGACACCATCTCTCTCTCTCTCTCTCTCTCTCTCTCTCTCTCTCTCTCTCTCTCTCTCTCTAATGACCATTTCTCTTAATTGGCAAATAATTCAAGTATTTGCTGCCTGAGAGACATTTTAGAATCTTTTTGGCCTCTTTATTATGACAAATGATGTAAATCAGTTAAATTTCTCTATAATTGGTATTATTGTAATTTTTACTATTGATTATCCATGTTTCATTATTAATAACTTGCATAAATACATCAGAATTGAGTGTTGTTTCATTGTCTGTGATCTCTTTTTCTGAATCCTTTCTTCAAGTTTTGTATTAAATTTGATCTTTGCTCTAATAAATCAGTGGTCTGAATGCACACAAACAGCTGATTCAAGGAGTCCTTGCCCCCAAGAAGCTTACCTTCTATGAATATGATAGAATACAATTACAAGGTAAGAAACCTAGGAAGAGGCGCAGAGTGAAGTAAGCAGAACCAAAAGAATAATTTATACAATAACAACATTATTGTAAAGACAAACAAGTTTAAAAGACTTAGGAACTCTGGTCAACCCAATGACCAATCATAATTCCAGAGGCTCGTGATGAAACAGGCTACCCACCTCGAAATTAGATAGACTCAGGGTGCTGATTGAGAAATACTTTTTGGACATGGCCATTGTGGGAATTTGTTTTGCTCGATTATATGTGTCTTGTAACAGGGGATTATGCTTTTCTTGTTCTCAGTTTGTTGGGGAGTAGGGAGGAGGTGGGAGGGAAAGAAAGAACCTTCTTTGGAAAAAAAGTTAATTTAATAAAAGGAAATGAAGAAGCTTACTTTCTACTGGTGGTGGAGGAAGAATAGAACAATATACACAGATAGGGAAATATAAGGTAATTTTGGGGTGGAGGGAGCATGAACAAAGAGGAGGATCACAAAAGACTTTAGGTAGGAGGTGGTATTGGCACTGAGCCTGGAAGAAGGCTAGGTGTGGATTCTAAGAAGTAAGGGTTGAGGAAAGAGTATATTCCAGGCATGTGGAACAATTTTTACAAAAACTCAGATGTGAGAAATGGGATGCCAAGGTCAACTAGTTTCACTGGAATGTAGAGACCTTGAAGGAGATTAATTTTAAAGCAGAAAAAGTAGGTCAGAGCTCAAGTGTGAAGGGCTTTAAATACCAGGCTGAGATGTTTGGTTTTTATCCTAGAGGCAACAGTAAGCCCCTGAAGATTTGGGGGCTAGGGATTAACAATGGGGCTTTAGGGAGATTATTGGGCAGCTTTGTGGGGGTTGGATGGAAAGGAAGAGACTGGAGGCAGATTAGCCAGTAAGGAGTAATAGGGTAGATAGCAGGTGATGAAGGCCCTGAGTAACAGTGGTAGCCTTCTGACAAAGAGAAAGAAATGGAGGGGAAAGAGGTGGGCAATATAGAATGGCCAAGACTTGGGAACTGAATGGGTGCGAAGGGGGAGGTGGCATAAAGATTCAAGAACTGCTCTCAGGTTTCACTGTTAGGATGGTGGCACCCTTAACAGAAAGAGGCTCGCTAGGAGGAGCAATGAATTTTGTGGACATCGGTGAGTTCTTTCCTGAATGCACTGAGTCTGGGAGGGAAGTTTCTAGCAGGCTGTTGGTAATGATATACTGCAGCTTGGGAGAGTTGGAGAGAGAGACAGAGATAGACAGACAGAGACAGAGATAGAGACAGAGAGAGAAATGTTGGCATCAGAAGATCACAGACCTAGTGCTGGAGGGGACCTCAGATACCATCTAGTGTAAGTCCCTCATTTTACAGATGAGGGAACTGAGGCACAGAGAGGTTAAATAAATTCCCCAAGGTTACCCAGCTAGTAAGTGTCAGAGGTAGGATACAGATACAAGTTCTCCTGATTCCAAATTCATCACTCTTTCCATGCTGTGTTCTTAGCC